TGGATGAGTAAATTTGCCCTGGGTCAAATTAACTCAGGAGCATAATTGGTGTTCCTGGAAACCAACATAACAGGAGGGTTAAAAGGGAGTTTTTCCTTCCTACTGTCGCCAAAGTGCTGCTCATAGGGGGTCATATGATTGTTGGGTTTTTCTCTGTATCTATTATTGTAGGCTCTACTGTACAGTATAAAGCGCCTTGAGGCGACTGCTGTTGTGATTTGGCGCTGTGTAAATAAAGTTGAATTGAACAAAGCCTCATTTCTGCTGTTTAATACCAAAGAAAATTAAACTTGTTAAAATGATAGCAAATTGCAAAACGCTGTCTAATAAAACCTCTATAACTTTCCTCCGCTTCACTTCATGTTGATTCAGGGTTTTCTTCAGTTTTTAATCTACTGCAGATATTTTAAGGTTATCTGCTATAAAAATCCAGGCCAGGAAAATTTCCATAATGTTTTTCTGTTTTATTCTCAGTTACTTTGACACAGCGTACTGATAAATGATCAGAATTATAATATTTCTGACTGTCCGAGGATAAATTGAATTGAATTGAATGGATTATAGAAATCAGTGATACCCAACCTTAGTGAGCAGCCTAGGCCCGACAGAGGTGGATGTAGCTGTGGGTAATAAGAAAAGATGATAGTGTTTTTAATTAAGGCCTGATCCGTCTGACACTCATAGCCAGTGCTCTGACACGGAGCCATGGATTGCTCAGCTTATGTCTAACACCGGTCCGGAGACGGCATCAGATAACGAGCCACATACGATGGACTCCGAGCCCACTGCGAGTAAAAGGAGGAAGGTGTATACTTTTGGAAAAAAGTGGCTTGACCAGTTTCCCTGGCTAAGATTCAGTGAAGCTGATAACATGATGCACTGCATTTACTGTTGCGAGTGTGGAGAGACCGTGGCCGGCAATGCTGCATTTGTGACTGCTTGTAATAAATTTCAAAGTGAAACGCTGAAAAAGCACAGTGTATCCAGAGAACACATAAGCTGCGATAAACGCCCAGCGTGCCCTCTCAACACTGCCTTTCAGCAGCAAACAGGTCGTCAGAGGAGGCCGACATGATGATGACGTTTAACATTGGCACTCTTTAGCAAAGCACTTTAAGCACAAGCACCTTTTCAGGAACTTATCCTTCTTGCTCCAAATAAAGAACTTTGTGTTGACAAGACTGATAGTTAATCATTTACAGATCAATATTGTCTGTATGGACAGCAGTTGGAACATGTAAAACAGCGGGGTTAAGTGATGCGTTTGAAAAACTTGGGCGCACCTAACGTTTGTGCTGGTGCACATAAGAAAACAAGTGTAACCACGGCAACAAGTTAGTCTAGAGCCCTGCACTTTATTCAAAAGTTAGAATTTCTTAAAAAACAAAAATAAAAGTAAGATCATCCGTCCAGTGCAGCGGCCTAAACAGACACTGACCAGTCATCTCTCCAGGGTTTACCTGGGGACTGAAACCTCACCTAGGACAGGTATCCTGGTCGCATGAACCACCTAAACTGACTCCTTTCAGTGTGGAGGACCTCTAAAGCTGACCCCAGAAGCTCATTTCTGCTTTCTGTTTACTGTGTTTTATCCTCCTTTGAACCAAGGGCATCTGCTGTGATGCTCACACCTCTGATGAAGTGTCAGCTTTCTTTTTATAGATATAAAAATATGGATATGTACTGATAAATGATCAGATTTATGATATTTGTGACTGTGTGAGGCAAAACTTCACAGATTCAAATAGAATCAAATTGATTCTAGAAATCAGTGACGATACCCAGCCCTGCTCAGGATGCTGTGGAGGTGGTAGACGAAGGCAGATGTCCCAGGCCTGCCATGTTACCCTCAGCTGATCGAGGAACTTTCCAACCTTCAGGATTCACTGTGACTGTGTGCATGGACGAACAGCAGACAGGGCACTCATCCAAGCATGTCAGGTACTCAAAGACGAGTCCTGTTCCAGCGAACAGGTACCGACCAGGAAGGTACTCGTGGACTCAGGTGAGCCGGTACATGTCACGCTCGTCCCCAAAACCAGTTTACGCAGCCTGAGAGCAGCCTGCCAAGACCTCGGCCATCATGTGCCTGAACCACGAGACGCTGGAGTCCAACTGTATCCAGATGGAAAATGGACTCCAGTCTTTTCACAGCACGCCTCTTTCACTTTTTTCTGGCGTTCACACTGCGATGCGTCAGAGAGCAACTTAGTATCTTGGAAGGATAATTGGCACGCAGCCTGGAGCAGCCAGGGATCGAACCACCAACCTCGGATTAGTAGATAACCTGCGCTACATCCCCCACCTTAGAGCACCCTCCTTCCCCAAGGGTGATGGGGAACATTCCCAGTTTACGCCCAACATCAGCCTGCCAACGCATCAAACTACAACTGCTGCCCGAACCGCGAGCCGCCAGAGTCCGAGCGAGCCGCCGGATCAGAACTCACTGAACTTTTCTCTCATCTCGGCCGGTGCAGAGACAAAACAGCTGCCAGCTGACGGTTTCTATGGAGACAAACTAATACAATGGGTGTGATATCATGCACAGGTGAGACACAACAGGAAGTCTAATCAATATCCTCTACCAATGAGCAATCAATAACAATGCAACAGAAACCTGAAACACACTGAGACAGGTGAGGGACAGACAGGTGTGATGTGTGGGGCGCAGGTGAGCTATGGAGCAGGCGTACGGAGAGTCAGAAGGTCATACTAACGTGGGCCGTGCGGCAGAGACACCACAGCAAAGATGCTGTCGCAGGCTGCAGGTGAAGAGGAGAAACACTGTGAGGAAGGAGAGGAGGAAGAGGAGTGGTGACATCATCCTGCAGAGAGGCGGCGCGATGGTGGAGG